ACAGGCTACGCAGTGTGTGAAAGGGTATCCAAAGCCCAACCTTTGCCAGCCCTCCAAGTGGGCAGTTGACAAATTAAAACATTCTTATTGCAACCCTCCTGCAACACAGCACTGGAAACAATTCTTTTTTTTTTTTCCTGTGGAAAATACCGAGGTTTTACTTCTCATCCTCAGCCAAAACAGACTATTTTCCAAACTACTGACACTTTTCTCGGAAGTTCCATTTTCCAAGATCCAAGTTCCAAATTCCAGACTATGAGATCTGTCCAAAACAACCCAGTTTTCTATTTTCAGCCACTGCCTTTATCACACTTTACATATTCAGATTTATGCCAATAATCTTATCTTAAAGACATTTTTTTGATACATTGGGAACTGGTCTGGAAAAAAGAATTTGCTCCAGATGCAGAAACAAGCTTTACTCTCAGAGATACTATAAGCTTACACAGGACAATATTCAACAAAAGTGAAATGTAACTGAGCAAAGCTACTCCCCATATCTTGTTTGACCTGGTTGGATTTTGGTATGGTTTATTTTATATGTTTTAACCTTGCTGTCTACTTTGATGCATTTTTTTTAAGGGAGAAATGGGATTTACAGACTCAAATCCTTCTTTGCCCTTCTAGAGAGAAGTGATGAGTTACTAAATTAAATCCTTACCCGCTTCTCTTCCAATTTACCCTGCGTATTCTCCTCCAAGGTAGAGCACACTTGTTGCTCTTCTGGAGCACATTTTCCAGTTTAGTTTTCTAGAAAAGGAGTCTGGTTCATGAGCTCCGAGAACATGATGCAAAACAGTGTACTACGGGGAGATGTGCCTCAGAAGCACACTTGCTTTCTGAAGTAAAATTCTAAGATAAATGTGCCATCACAGTGTGAAGAGGAAGATCTTCCAAAAAAAAGTATTTCAGAATACTACATTTATGTCTTACTCTGAACTACCTTCTTGGAAGAACTTCTCTCTTACAACACCAAAGAAGCTATGGAAGCTAGCTCTCTTCCTAACTCGGGTTTCCAAACTTTGGCAAAAACACAATAAAGCAGGCCAAAAAGAGAGTCTGAGGAACAACTACAAAGAGGAATCAAAATTCTCAACAAATCTTACTTCAAATACATTAGGAAGAGGAAGTCTGCTGTGGCTACTGGTGATCAAAGTAGAAAGGAGCACTGAGGGAATATAGGGGCACTGCAGAGAAGTTATAAGAACTCTGTGCATCAGTGTCTGCAGAGACAGAAACTACAGGGACTTCCACATGCAATGCTCTTCTGTCTCTAGTTCAACCTTGAGGACATACAACTCCATAAGGAATATAATAAAAAGCTACAGCATCCTGAGTGTCCAAGTAAAGTACATGGGGTTTGATTTGTTCACTGTGTTTCCCAGTAAAAGAAGACATAGAATCATAGAATGGTTAGAGTTGGAAGGGACCTTAAAGATCACCTAGTTCCACCCCCCCGCCACACCTCCCACTAGAGCATTAAATGAAGCTACTAGGAGACATGTTCAAAGCAAGTAAAAGGAGATGATTCTTCACACAACCGTGAAACTCCTTCCCAAAGGATGATGCAAGCATTAAATGATTGCAAAGATTAAATGAGAATTACACAGGTTAATGAAGAAGAAATAGATTATGGACTTTTAAATACTCAGACATTACACCCAGTCCAGGAAGTTCCTTGAGCTGAAAATAGTTGAAGGCCAACTTGTTCTGTCTCATTCTTCCCCAGGCTTCTTCATGAAGTCATGGTTGGAGTTATTGGGTGAGACAAACATTAGATTTGACCAAGTACACACATTATTTTATTATTTTAGTAGATACTGTTAATTCCTTTTCACTTGTATGCTACATGTTGTGTTTGTATTTTGGATCCATACAAAAAAAAGGGAAGGACTGATAATCTCCTTTATTGCTATCCCATTTTAGCTCTGGGAATTATTATTCCTATTTTAGCTAACACCCATCACGACTTACATAAAGCATCCATGGTCCAATCCTGTAAGAGAAGGAGTTCTTCATTTCTGTGAAACCAGCAGGAGCTGAGAACACTGAGTATTTTAAAGGATCCCGGACATGTGACAGCAAATGAGATTTAAGCATCCATTAAGAGCTGCACAAAAATGCTTTTCTGAGTCTGGGCTCTAAAAGACTACTGAGCTATACAAGGGTTTTACACATCATTTTGTTGTCAACATATGCCTTCTCAGTTTCATCCTGCTTTATTCTGATCTGGTTTGGGTGTTTTTAAAGTTTAAGACTGTTTTCAAACAACTGTAGAGTAATCAAATTGTAAAGCATCAAATAAGCCTTTCTCTTGGATGATAATCATCATGACCTAAAGGTTAGGTCAAGAAAGAAAATCCTCTTTTCAAGAGAATGTTTCTTCTAACACAAAAACCGAAGGCAAAGGCTGGTTTGTATGATACCATGTGTAGTTTCCATAAAACTCTGTGTTGCCTCCTGTTTCAAGATGGGCCTGATCCACACCCTGGGGGTGAATCTCTCTGGATGTCTGACATACGGGCTATAGGCTGGATGCTCTAGTTTGAGACTGTTTTCATGTAACTTTTTTTTTTTTTCTATTTCCGTGTGCTAAATAAAGCCCTACATTTATTGCTGAGCACTGCCACTGACAGAGAATATAAGAAAAAATAAGCATAACTTACAGATGGCAAATGATTACGGGGAATCACTCAAAGATGATGTAGTGCTTTAAACTTCACTTACATTTATTTCTGTTTCAGAAAAACCTTGTACTTGCAAAAGGATCTAGAATACACATTTTGAAGGAGGAAAGTCAAACCTGAAACTAGGCTAAAAAAGGTGACTACAGAACAGCAGAAAAAACAGGCCTGGGCCAATTCATAGCCATTTCTGTTGGAGCTCTTAAAATACCAGAATGAATTTTCTACTTAGCACACGGTAAGCAGTTGACTTGGAAAGTCCTATTGAAAAGTGAAAGCCTATTCTTCACAAAGCTCTTTATAGTACTGAAAGAATACATGAACTTCTGATCTTTAGAAAATGTATGTGCCTTATTCCTAGCCTGAAAATATATCAAAAGTAAAGCAGAGGGGATTCTGGGAAACTGTCTGCAAGCTACCTTTTGCCTAAAGCCAGTTTTAAATGTCAGGACTTTTTTAGGCTTCTGATTGTGCCACGGTACTTAAACACCAACAAAGCACGATGCTGGTTCTTTACGTTTTCTCCAAAGTTATTAAGTAGTATTTCTGAAAGGAAAAATAGAAGTATTTTCCCTCAGAATACATGAGTTGAGCAACGACAATCCAACCAACAGATAAGCATCTCCAGACAACAGAGTAAAAAAACCTGAAGATAATGATGAGGATTTTAAACAATCACTTTACCACTTTTGCGCAAACTCTTCTGAATCTATGTTGAACTTTTGCTCCATTTCAGTATGAACCATATCATCAGTGGTTTCAATTTGGCCTGTTACACCTCAATTATCTTTAAAGACATTCTCAAAAATGCAGAAAAACTGCATTTAAAAAAGGCCGATAGCACAACTAGTAACTCCCTCCTTAGTACAAAGCATTTTGTCTATCGTGAAGGTCACACACTTAGGAAGCTCTACTCCAAAATCTATTTTTTATTTGTAAAGAAGTTGTCTGAGTCTTGAACAAATCCAAATATGACAACTGGTTTCCAGGTAATATTTTCCCCATTTCAAGTTTTCTGCATTGTCCTGGCACACAAGAGAAATGCATGATTGCACTGCCCCAATTAAAACTTGAATCCAAGACTTCATCAAAAACAACTAAGTTAAAAAACTTCTACAGAACAAAAATATCTCCCCAAACCATCTAACAATGCAGGATTCAATGCACGTGTTGGAAACAAGATTTTTTATTACTGTTATTGATATTATTATTATTATTATTGTTAACAACATGTTCATGTGCACAAGTATATTGCTGACTTGGATCCAACTTATTTCACCATGCAATAAAAACAGGTTTTTGTCATTATCTCATTGATTATCAGGAGCCCATCTAATGGGCCTATCTTCAGTGAATCAGTTTGTTTCCACTCTTCCCCCTGATGAAAGTCTGTAACTGCTGACTGCAAGAAGCTCCTGTAAGAGTACACAGTACAGTAACATATGAAAACACTGGGTTTTGTCTGGTCTTCACGTAGTATGCTTCAATGTTCGCTCAGTCACAAACACCTCTTCTAAAATGACAGCAAATAAAGCAATGGGATCTCTAAGAAATTAGAATCATATAGCACACAGAAAATTCTTCCTTCTTTCTCACTGCGTGTGATACTCATTTATGCCAAGTAATAACTGTGTGACAGATGACTACTGTCTACATGTCTGTGAGGGGTGATCTAATCTCTGCTATCTGATCTCCAAAGCATCTGGGGGAGAGTCAACCTGCAATGTGCTAAGGGCACCAACATAATAAGGTTGGTTATATATAGCTGTTCTCACCAAAGAGTTTCCAAAAGATTTCAGAAGGTGAATATTATTATATACTGCTATCCTAAGCATTCTAAACACTGTCAAATGTATTAAACACTCTTTCTCCCCCTAAACCTTTCTTCCTCTTCATCCTCCCCTACAGTCACTAAATCAAGTTGTTATATATTTATACACCTTGCTGCTTCAGGCCTAGCAATTTCCAGCAGGTCATTATTAACTGTTAATTCAAAATTACTAGCAGTGCAGTGCTTATTGTGTGGGTCTGACACGTTCTTAATATAAACCTGCCTTACCTGCTTTCCCTCCACCTCTGGCAAACCAGTGCTTTACTGTTATTGTGCACGATGGCTGGAAAACACTCCTCTGAGATCTGATTTTAGCCATGTAGCCTCCAGCACCGTTTTACCGTTATCAAATCCAGCCTTCAGACAGTCAAATCAATCCCTGTCCTCCGCTCTCCCCACATCTGCTGTCTTTTCTTACAACCCAGTGTTTGGCATTTTAATTATTTTCTGTTTCCTTACATAAAAACCTGGAAAGTAAGCCTTACCCGGCACTGAAAAGGGAGATAGATTGTCCTGTTCATTTTCCTCCTCTTGGTTCACCACAGGGATGTTTCCGTTTTCAATATTCTCATGTCTCCCATTCTGAAGTGGTTTGCTTGAGCCATTGGCAGATTGGATTAACCGCTGACGCTGCACAGTGCAAAGAAAAAACTGCCATGGTTTGGAAAATACTCACTTTGTTAAACTTGAGTTTTGCTGTCTGTCCACCCCCAGTCAGATGAGCCATGATGTTTTCCCACCAAGCCTTCCTTCCAGTCAGCAACAAATAAATTTGTCTGCAGCCTACCTGTATTCATCAGGCCATTGTTGACCATCCACCTCAAAATTACTGGCAGGAGTCTTTCAAGCCACGATCTTCCAAGCCAGGAGAAAGTTGTCATATCTGTTCTCCCACACCATGTTTTAATTAGCGTGGTTACTCTGAAGCACTTCTCACTCAACAGTTCCCACTCAAACCAGCAGTAGCACCATAACCTAGTGGTAACACTCAAGACATTTCCACACTATTGGCTTATGAATGACTCATTACCCAGGATCTCTCCTACTCAGGTCCAACTCCCTTCCTGCCTTCTCATCCCCATTCCTTGAGGTAAATGTCTTATAATTTTAAAAGCAAGACTAACCCCTGCTGCCCTTGTCCAAGCATATACTTTCATGCAGCTCATAACTGCCACTGCAGTCATGTATAAGGCTGCTAGAGTTCCATACATAGCACAACAATTACAGGGCTAGGCTTTAAATGTCAGTATATATACCCAGAATGTGAGAATGCGAGATGTAACTGCAATTTCCTACTTTTACAAAAAAAATAAATATTTTTAGTTTGTTAGATGAGACAATGGAGGGTCAATAAATGTTCTCTTTTTCATGACAAATTGTTGCAACTTCCTAAAAAGTGCTCTGAAATGCCTTGAAAAATGAAGTAACTGCACCACAAAAAAAATTCTGAAACTAGTGTTAAGACACTGTAATTAAGAAGAGAGAAAACTCGTACCAGGAAACTCAGAATCACTATAAGCATGGCTCTTTGGCAATCCCTCTGCCTCACAGTCATTTATTGTTTTGTTAATGAACATACCTCATTAATGATGAGTCGACTTGCCATCCGCATTCTGGTGCGTGGTCCAAACCTGTTTGTAATCATAATCCGTAATCCAGCTTCGGGGAACCGGTATTTGGGGGGACTTGAGCAGATGATCTCATCCACCATCACAACACTGTTTTTGCCATACTGCTGCATCCCCTTCACTAATGATCACAATGGACAGAGTTAGTTATGGAGCTGATCTTACCATGCTTCCCATCACCCAGACTCATTCTTTTTAGGCTCAGCCAGGGGTAATATTCATCTGAATGCTTGAACTTACAAGTGACTTCCCTGTAGTATTTCTGCACCCTGGTGAATCTGCTCATCAGTCGTGCACTTCATATAGATCACATGCTGAAAATGGATTTCACTCTGCTCAGGTAGCCACCAACCCATTCTTGGGTGAGTGGAACCAGTTTTTACCCAGCCATTCATGCTGTAGTACCGTTTTCTTTGTTTATGTCACACTACAATTTTGTAAGCCTTCTCTAAAAACACTTGCACTGTGGCAGTGTAGACAGCGCTCCTGAAACCTCTCAACCCTATCCCTATCGGATCCAGGAGCTGCACATCCAGAAGTCCCTAATGTTCCACTCACTCCTTTTGGAAATCTTCACTTTACCTTCAGAGAATATTAACAATCTCTCTAACACGACAAGATTTGAAATGATGAAACACAACAATTGTCAAGAACAAATGTCTTTTTAAGTCTTTGTTAATATAAAGGAACTTGTACCAAAATTAAGATTTTTGTTCTACCGTGTTACGAACACAGACAGAGAGACAAAATTACACTGGGAATCAACACAAATACAGGCCAGGACTTTAAGAGCTCAACAACAAACCAACATTCTTAACAAATACTACAGACTACACACAGCAAGCAAAGCAAGGCTCAGCAGACAGGAGACATACCCATGTGGTGTTAGAAAGCAGGGCAGGAAATATGTATATGACTGTAATAAATATTAATTATTACAGGTAATAATATGTATGGAAAAAAAACCCCAACACAATTATTTAGTGCTTGTTTTCTGCTTTGCTTAGCTTGGCTTCACCCTCCCACTCCCCTTTTGCATTAAGTTACTTACATTAAGAAGAAGAAGAGAATTTAGGAGGTAGAAGTGAAAGAAAATTATTAGTGAATGGTTCCAGTCAGCAAGCAAAGGAAATCTAAGAAAACATTCAACTCAAACAAAGGAATTAAAATGGACCTGTTCTAAACACACAGAAATCTATATTGTTATTTTTTAGCACTGTTACCATGTTGAAATATTTTTCAAATATTTTACAGGAAGAAGACTGGATCCATGCATGCATGTAAATCACATCATGCAAAAAGCTTTGCTGTCTCAAGCATCTACTAACATATTTGAAGTTGAAGAAATATATCCTTCTATTACCATTCAACAAGAAAAACCTAGCACGCCTGTAAATCACCAGTAAACAGTCATATCTTTTATCCTTTAGCATTTGAGTGTCTTGCTTTCTTTCACTAAAATAAGTTTTCAGCGAGTACACTGGGGTCACCTGAAGTATCATAAAGGGAGCTTTGGTTTCACAAAGAAATATGCCCTACTTAAAGAATCCACTCTGTAATCTTGTCTTGCAGCTTAATATCTCTAATGGAGACTAGAACTAGTAGTAATTTTGCATTTGGTAAAACATAAAGGAGCAATTATCCTCCCCCTGCCCTGACATCTAAAACAAATTAACCTTGCTGAGTACTGCAGCTGATGACACAAGTCAGGAGCACATCCATTCCAATGACTCTTACAGTTAAGAGTGTAGCAGTTTTTCTGTGAAGGAATATATAAACTGACAAGCTTCCTAGGAAGCAGTCCTCACAGAAGAGGACTCGACCACAGTAGCTTAACATTTATTTTAGTTAGACAAAGAAATATTTGACAGCAATCCTGGTAAGGCAAAGAGACCAGATATCTTTTTAACAGTCTCATCAGATTAACTGCTCTCAAGTGAGTTTCTCCAGTGAAGTCTCCAAAGAGCTTCTTTGTCTTATATTGTCATGAAAAAGATGGAAGCACTGCAGTTATTCTGGAGCTGTTTCTAAGAGCACTGAGACAGTGACCAAACATAGTCAGCTTTGATTAAATACCATCAAAAAAGACTCTGCACTGATGTAGAATACATCACTTGAGATATATATATAACTAACTGCAGATGTTTTGACTTACTGCAACACATTGCTCTTATATTTTCTTAACAGGTCTTCAGTCTCACTCCCTATGCCCATAAACATACATACCTTGGCCCTATATGGTACAAACAGGGTCCATCTAAAAATCGCAGAAGTGGTTTTCATAAATATGAGACAGAGAAAAGCATTTTTCACTTCTCCTTTGTGACATTGCTTAGAAATATATCTTCTGAGAATGGCTTTTCATTTTAACAAACCACCTGAACTACCTGCTCACCGCGAAGGGTCATCACCAACAACCCTGTCAAAATAACAGAAAGCTACTTGCTGATTTACTTGACTCCTGACCAGGCCCTCAGAAACTCACTTTTTTCAAGTTTCTGGTTTTAGGCAGGAATCGAACCATGCCACCTGGTGGAAATCTGGGTCAACATAATAAAAGCCATGGGCAGCAAGCCACATGTTTGTACTTTAAAAATAGGAGCATTATTCACAAAGTACAAATATTTCACCTTTACCGGTGTGTGTAGAACTTGCCCTTGAAATTGAATTTATCTTATGGTGGAAGCTCTTCTTTTTCTCTCTGGAAGTAATGGAAGCTTTTATATTGTGCCATTCGAAGCTCTTAAAAGTAATAAAACTTAGAAGCGTAAGACAGAGCTGTGCAGCAGACAAACCCCCCTTTTATCTGCACCTTGAGCAACAGAGTAACCATCCTTGGCAGGAAGAAAGTTCCTCACCCAAAGCAACTGTTCTTTTTTGGGATGTCATCAGACTTTCCTCATCAGATTAAGGTTAGACCTACACCTTGGTGAAGCCAAGGGAGGTTTTTTGGTGGATCCTGAAACTTGCTAACCACTAGTTGGAGGTAAGGCAGAGGCCAGTTCTCCTTCTTTCCATGCTACTACCACTGCTCCTGTTTCTGAAAGCTGCTGCTGGAGAAAGTGCAGCTCAGCTTGTGAAGCCAGTGTCAACTAACAACGAGTCACTGATAGGTCATGGCATATTCTGACTCAATGGGAGGGAGATGCAACAGGCAGCCATGTGATGGCTTTCTAGGACAGCTTCTTGACACATAAAGCACTCATCTACAAAGCAGTTAGGCTAACACTGCCATCCTCCTCCCCCACCGTTCACTTCAAAACCTGTCATCTCCTTAATCTTTTGTCTCCTCTCTGACCCCAGGTAGGTTTGCCTGTGATAGTATCTACACTCTCACACTTTGAAGATTGGTCCCTCCAATGCAGCATGTATTTGTGTAATGGGTGCTGGAGAAGGCAAAGAGAATCTGACTGAAGCTGCAGTCTCAGGGCATCTTTGAGGGAAATTAGAGGAAAAAAAAATATACTGTGGACAGTTGCCAGCGGAGACACCGATCTCATGACTCCAGGTTTTTATTAGCTTTCTTGCTCCTTTTCCTAAAAGATCTGCATGTTCTTCATAAGCATTAAATAATCTTCACATTTCCTGAGAAAGAAATAGGTGGAAAGGCAACCACTCTGTGCTCTCATCCCTTTACCACACAGTGGCTAGAGAGGAGAGCATGCAGGGAGATGACATCAGAACCCAAACAAATGCCTTGGAAGTAAAAACCTCTAACATTTGTGTTCTTTCACTGGATCACCCGTTTCTGTGTCCCCACTTGAATACATAAGTAACAACCACCCTAGGAGGTATCCTCTAAACCTTGAATGTACATATCTCCACATCCAAGTGACAGACCTCACTATATCATAGCCAATGTTGGCAAAAATTCACTGTCAAACGACATCAAATTATTTCAAATTTAATTATGTTACAATGTCTTATGAGAAGTAATTTTAAATCTCTATTAAACTATGTCTAAACACCATATCTAAGAACAGAGCATCAGTGTGCTGCCACTGCATAAACCTGTAGTAAGTGACAGTACCTACCTTGAAGAGATCCCAGCCTAAGCACTAAAAGCAGAAAAGAGTGGGCTTCTGTGAGTCTGCTGTAAATTCCTGTTTGCCACTATTTTTCATTACATGAGGACCTTTCTGAATGCTACCTACATTACTGCTGAGCTCCGTCTTCAAGAATGGGAGATCTTTGCAAATAACAAAGCCAAGAGACCTCACTCATGAAGAGCAGCCCAAGAGCTCTCTAAATTATAAGTTTGTGCTTTGAAGGTAGGAAAGATTTTCCTCTACAGAGGAAAGAGAGAATGGAAGAGAAGAGGATAAGACAATGATAAAAACAGGCTTACAAAAAAGCCGAAACTATCCAGGTACATTTGCCTACCTTTAGTACCAGAAGCTGGGTATCATCTTCTTCCCCTTTGTGACAAAGGCACAGACAGAAAACTCTCTGCAATTCTCGATTTTACGTAAGTGTGTGACAAAGTATGCAGAGCTATTTAGGCACGTGAAAGCCAGTCTTCTGGGGATCTGAACTCAACACATCATCCCTCTTGCCCACTGATCTGCCCACGGCCTTTCCTTCAACACCCAAGCCTCAGCTTCTAGTTCCAATCTAATTTTTGAAGTGAAAATTACCTTCTTCCTGGGAAAAAAACCATATGTTTCTTTCACAGTGTTGTAGTTCATCACTGAACGGGAGATCAAAAGGAAGCAAAACTGCCAATGTGCAAAGCAGCTTCTTTTCAGTATATAAACAAAAAAAAATTTGCCCGTTGTGGGTTTTTTTTCACCTGGCAGTCTGACTGCTGAACTGTCAAGTTAACGCAATAAAAATTCCTGCTTATGATTAAACAGTAACACTGTTTTGATCACATTAAAGAAATAAAAAGGATAACCTGTGAACTACTTCTTTTTCCACGTCCTGTCTGCTCAGCCTTACCTTTGCATAGTAATGGAATGGATGGGTCATCACAACTAGAGGTATAACATTTATTACCATCTTCCAGCTCATTGACTGTGTCACCATTTCCAACATTCTTGCTTTTAAGGCTGAAGAAATTTTGCATCCTCGCGTTGTACCTGAAAGTGCAAAGGAAAGGTCTGAGAAGGTTGGACTGTTGCATTTCCTCATCAAACTTTTAAACGTCTGAGAACAACTTATGCTAGCAAACAATAAAGCCTAGATGCATGTTCTCTGACAACTAATAGGATGTCAAGAGAAAGGACTATCCAATTCAGTGGCAAGCTGATAGGAAAGCAAGGGCTGCATCTATCTCTCATGAGATACAGCAAATTGCAAACAGACACTAGAGCAGATTTAAATGAAGGCAGAACATCAGAACTGTGGATTTTGGAGCCAGGATTTTCCCTATAAAATGGCTTCTTTCCTCCTGCATCAGCTTGCAAGTCACCTCACTGTTTTTCTCAGTACTGTGTTCCCCATGGCAGATGCTTGAGCATTTCTGGAACTGCTGACCATACCCTTCTAAAGAAAGAATGCATCTATTTTTGCACTAGGGTGCGATCTAAGAGGGCTGTTGATGAACTCTCCTAAGACCTGATGTAGGAGAAAAGGGAGGCTGAAGTTCCCAAAAAGGTGATTTGTGAGGGGAGGGCACCAAGGGATAAGTCTAAGCAACTTGCATTAGAAGGGTGGACACACAGACCCCAGCAGTAAAAGCTGGACCTCTGACTCTCCTGGCAGTGGCAGTGACACTACAGAAGGAGAACATCAGTACACAGTCTGGTATGAGATGGTCTGAAGATTAATACATGCCTAGTAGTCTGTCTAATGTTACTTGACTTTGTTCTCCAGAGATTACAAAACGTGCAATAACTGACAGGCTGTGTGCTTACAATCCAGAGCACACAGTGGGCTTTCTCATATATCTTTATAAATGATATTTTCTTTCCACTATTTCTGAAATCTACTTTACCTTGGTGCACTATGAAAAGGGCGCATGAAAATATTTGCTGCTGACTGAGCCCAAAGCTAGAGCAAAACTGAGTAAGCATAAAAAAGCAAGGGATCTTACACAGAAACATGACTGGGAATATTGTCCCAGGAATTGGCCCACAGGAAGGCCAGGGACAAAAACACACCAAAAGAATGATGGTCAATTAACACCTAAAGGTCATATAGAGGAAAATAGCACTTACTTCATGATAAGTATGTAGAATGAATACATAATGATGAGTACAAGGCTTTCCCACCTCAAAGAGAAAAAAAGAGTATTAAAAGGCCATTCAAACAGCCACATGATTTACAAGTTTTATGAAGGATTGTGCTTTAAATGTCTAGTACAAGTCACATTTGTGTACACAGGATTCACATCATTAAGATTAGATGGTGTCTTAGCAGAATGGGGGGGAAGCAGACTCTCATGTTCCAATAAACATACAAATAAAATGTAATGCATATATTTCAGAATTGTGCTATGCAGACTGAAACCATAGCTACCCTCTGAGGATAACACCAAGGCTTTTTGTCATTTCAGTGCTGAAGCACAGCCCAGGCACTCCAAGAGGACTCTTTTAGAAGATGTTTATCATATTCCACTGGGATTCCACCTTGGGCTTTTCTTTGTGACACCTAGCACCCCCATAAATGTTAACAGCCAGAATCTTTGGTACCCAGAACCAGAACTTTGGTAGCCAGAACTCAGGGTACCCTCTCTGCACATGTGAGTCTACAGGCCTTACATAATAGCCTATTTACTTCATTAATGTTTCCAAGTTCTTACATTTTCTTTTAGTTTACTCTGATCATCATAAAAAACATCTCCAAAGAAAATACATAAGATTTCCTAGGTGTCAAATCCAGCTCATCCTCACAGTATGTATGAATGAAAGCTAATTACACTGCAACTCTATTTACTGATCATTCTCATGGCAAATACAGGACTGCAGGGAATAATTTACACAACTTACCACTCTATTTTCTCATCATATATGAACTAAAGAAAGGAGAAAAAAAAAAAAGAAACACAAAAATTGATCATTTCTCTGATCTATCTTGAAAAACAGTCAAATTTATTTAATAAATGTGAGTCATATCTAGGCAGAAGCTACTCAAGTTTTGACTCTTTCTAACCAGAACTTTCACTGTAGGGACTGTGCCCCTCACAAAGCACAAACCATGTGAGCAAGGCTTGGATCCCTCTCTGTGACTGTTATACTACTATTTAGTAAAACAGTGTGAGCACGTGAAAGGCAGACAGAGATGCACACATGTACCCACACGCTGTGCTGTGTAAATGACAGCAAATTCACCTATTCTGAAAAGACCAAACTCTGAGTCCTTTTAACAGCTAGACTAGTCTCAGCAGAAAAGGCAGCCATTTCACTTCTGCTCTTAGGCCAAGTGGTTATATACATTTTACTCAATCCTATGTAACTCCTGTACTAAATGATCCATATTTATTACAAAACAAAGCGGATTCTTCCTCTCCTTGCCACTAGACACAGTAAACACACATTCAGGAACTACAGTGCTTTACACTGCTTTAGTGGTATCTCACCCATGCTCTATTTAGATAAGTTTACCCAGAATCTGTGAAATAAAATTACTGCATAGAAGCAAGGAACAGCCACCTTCCCTGCTTAAAACAGAGGTGCAGCTGAGAATTTTTCATCTCCACAATGTGCAGTCCCCCAGATCAGCAGAGAGTGCTATCTGCACTGTGCAAGGGCAGCCTGCAGACCTTTACAGACTGCAGGAACAATACGAATGGACATTGGTGGACATGATGGACACATGCTCTGTGGGGCTGTAGGAAGTTTTCATATTTGGACCATACTGTGGACCTGAGCTCTCACTTCCAGATGTCACTGGAACTAGCTAGGAAAATAATTGTTTATCAGTATATAAAACAGTTAGCAGGCTGGTCCTCCAAAAATTCAAGCAATGGAAGTACATTAATTGGTAAAAGCACTACTTACAACAATAAGTATGATCACAGATAACGTGTAGTACACAGAGTCGCGGAACACAGCCCACTGGGTGAGACAAACAACCTGAAAAATATCACACCTTCAGTCAACAAAAATATGTAATTTTCAAGATCAAACAAAGGCCTTTATCTTGCAACCACGTAGGTGCGTGAGCAGAATTACTATTAGCTATTATTAGCAATGATTCTGGAACTAATTTCAGTTTTATGCTAACAGGAAGGCACATTCCTCTGTTAGACAATGGATCTATATTAACCACCAGTATTAAAAAACATATAGAACCTCCATTAATAAAACAGATTTTTTACTAATGCTATTTTAATTGGTCATAATTTCAACTGTAAAGCAAATGATTCCCACTTCATTATATTTGTGGATATATTGGACTTAATACCTGAAGAAACATAATACACATTCTAATCCTCTACTGAGTGGAATAAATTTCATGCTTGTGTCCAAAATTCTTTGTTGGCCATCAGTATCAGGAATACACAGTACTGTATGAAGAGGAAGGAACTAGTTTCCTTTGTATGCTACATGTTCAGAGTGTTGAAACTACAGACGAACTTTTTGGAAACATTTGCTATTTGTAAAGCATTTGTAAATTCTTTCCAACATTTGTCATTGTTCACAATGCCAGTTGTTTTTGTTTCTTTAATAATACTCTTTTTTTTTTTTTAATATTTGCTCATGGAAACCCCAAAATTGTAAGCAATTGAACTCCATAAAGATAAGTATCTTACTAACCTGTCCTGCAAAAATTCCACAGACACCAACAATGCAGAGGATGTTGAAAACTGCTGAACCGACAATGGTCCCTACTCCTACATCTCCATGAGTGATAAATACACCTGCAGAGGGAGAAAAACATGTATTATTATCTCTGTCATTTCATTTTAGGTCACAGGCAATTACTTAAAATATGTACTACCTGAGAAAAAGAGATTGTTTGAAAGTTTAACCAAAACATGTTTTGTAATAAATGTTCACTTCTCTATGCAATATTTTGTGGTTTTGGTGTAGCTAGCAGCTCCCCATTTTTGGCTTAACAAATCTACATGCATATTTTTTATTAAAAGCAATTTTTTTTTTAGCTAGTTAGTTCAACAGTAAGTCCTGTATTTCACAGCTTGGTTGTTAGTAGTGCAGAAATCCATTGAAATGAGTATAAAACATCTCCAGTCACATCAGGAGCCTGGAATTTATTTCAAACAGTATAATAAAGCACAGAAACCTTTCTCCCAGGTATTTAATATTTAGTGTGTTCTTCCTTGCAATGTCTCATGGGATAAGAGTTTCTTCCCTCAAGTACAGTAATATGCACCTTCTGACTCAAACAGACAACAGGATTCAGAATTAACCTGTTCCAGTACCAACCTTCAGATTTCCCTTAGTACTGAACCCACCTATGCCTCAGATCTAGCTGTAACATAACTGTGTAAGAATGACAAAAATTAATGGCTGGAGTGGACCTCTAGGGATTTATCTAATGTAATCTTCAGTGCTGAGGCAGAACCAAAGGCAACGTGAACGCACAACAGAGCCGTATCTACTTGTACTTCAAATCTTCCACTAAAGGGAGCCTTTAAAGGCTTACACTCGCTGTTTTTTAATAAGTTGGACATGAGGTCCATAGTGCATTCCTTTAGACCGTATTTCCCTAAAGTCTGTAAAAATGTCAGTTGGGATAGTAACAGAAAGCCACTAAGGCTTCACTAAAGACCGCATCCTGGGCTGCATCAAAAGATGCATGGCAGCTGGTCAAGGGAGGTGATTCTCCACTCTTGTGAGATCCCATCTGGGGCCCTCAGCACAGGAAAGACCTGTTGGAGTGGGTGTTCAGAGGAGGACTACATAGATGATCAGAGGGCTGGAGCACCTCTCTTATGAAGGCAGGCTGAGAGAGTTGGCCTTATTCAGAATGGAGAAGACAAGGCTCCTGCATGACTTTATCGTGGCCTTTCAATATTTAAAGGGGGCTTATAAGAAAGATGGGGACAAATTTTTAGCAGGTCCTGTTGAAATAGGGGTAATGGCTTTAAACTAAACAGGGAAGATTTAGACTATATAGAAGGAAGAAATTTTTTACAACGGACGTGGTAAAACACTGGCCCAGGTTGCCCAGAGAGGTGGTAGATGCCCCATCCCTGGAAACATTCCCGGTCAGGTTGGACAGGGCTCTGAGCAACCTGATCTAGTTGAAGATGTCCCTGCTCATGGAACGGACATTGGACTAGATGGCCTTTAAAGGTCCCCTCCCACTCAAACTATTCTAAGGTTGTCTTATTCTATGACATTTGCAGCTTTCCTCCTTCTCTATTAGGGTAATCCTGTGTCCTTCCTTCTCTTAATAGGTACTGCTTTTGCCATTTAGAGCTCCTCTCCACAACAATAATCTTTAATATTTCAGAGATTACATCAAATAATTCTGGAAGTAATGTACAACATGTCCTTCTGGCTTTAACAGATCTGACTTATCCATACATTAACTTGTTCTTTTCCCATGTTCCCTGTTCTCCTACTTCCTTGCTAAAATTAATTCCCTCTCTATTTGTGAAGAAAGAAGCCAAAGAGGCACAAAATATCTCAAATTCTCTCTCAGGGGACTGCAATAAAACTCTTCTTTTACTTCCTATATTCAGAATCAGCCATTCCTCTCTGTTTTGAGAGGAGATTCACAGTTTCATGAGATATTTTGAGTAGTTAATTATACCATGAGCCACAGACTAGCTGACAGCTGCAATTGCTGATTATAAATTGACAGAAGAATGGTAGCACTTTTGGATACCTCTGCTTGTTCTGCTGCTGATTTTTTAACAGCAGATCTCATAAAAGCTAGTGTGTGGGCTCCGTACCTATAACAGATGCAAACAGTTCTGGAGTGGAGCTCCCTGCTGCCATGAATGTGGCTCCAGCAACATCTTCACTCAAATGTAGTTTCTGAAAGAAAAGCATTGGTAATTTCAGCACTGCTACTGTATTTACATTGCACAGTCTTACAGTTTCAAAGATAGAATTTCTTCATTTTCTGGCCACAGTGCTCTTAAAGGATGAACAGTCACTAGGATAGAAAATTAGACACTGCCTTTTGAGAAGGCAAATATACTCAGGGCAAGTAAAATGTTTATTCTCTAATTCCGTGAAGCATCAGATAAAATTACCTACTAATATGTAACTGAATAGCCAACTGCAGCTTACTTGTAGCCGATTGGAGAAAAGCATCTCTGCAGATTCAGAAAGATTGTAAACACCTCAAATAATTTCCCTTAATTTACTTTTGGAACTCTAAATACACTCATTCAAGAATTGAGGGCAATTCTTGAGGCTTCTAAAATTTGAAAACAAAAATACATACGAGAAAAACATAACCTCTGTGAGTAAATCTTACAAACAGCAGGCCTGAATCTGGCTTAACTTCACAACTGTGTTAATCAAAAGTGAGGCTGCTGACACGGACAAAATTAGTCCAGTTAGACTCAGAGAGGCCTGTGTACCATAGACAGATCTATTTATATGACAGTGTCTCTTAAGCTTTAATAGGATATAGATAACTTCCGAGTTCTCAGGCCAGCAGAAACATGTGTAGCTCCACAAGTCAGCTGCATCAATTTAGTACTGTCTGAAGATCTTTCTCTTGAACTATAAAGAAGGTTTTATGGAGGAGCTTTTTCCTTTTTGAGAGTCCCTAGACTCAACTTCAGTACCTTATTTTTCTTTCAAGGATAGAAAAGCGATTAGTGAGAGAAGAACGAGCACAGAAATCCTGTATTTTTCAGGCAGCCTGCAATATTTTGAGATGATGAAAATGGCATCCTACAGAACTTGACAAAACATAAACACAAAGCTCTTATGGCACCATTTGATCTATTACCAGCCGTACAGTTGCAGGAGTTCAAACTTAAGTGTGCTACCTGAATTCTTCTTAGCTGTTTTAATATTCAGCAGAACATGACACGAGGGAAAGATTTTATGAAGGATCAGTGACAACTTAATTGGTACAATCCAAGTGGTGCAACTTAAACAGAGTGTATAAGGTGCATACTGAAGACAGAACATGTGAAAAGGGAAAGATCCCTAATGAGTATTTTACTATTTTTGGCCACCTGTCTTGTTCTTCTATTGCTAAGTGTAAGTGTATAGCTCTGAGTAACACTAATAGGAATTTTGTACATATATCCATAGGAAAATAGACTTTTTAACTACCCACAGTTGTTCTTCAAAAAATGGTCAAACATCTTTGTTAAAAAGCAAAGGAGATGAGATTTTTGTTTTGCCCTCAAAAAGGAATTAAAATCAGGTTTGTATTTTATATTCAGTTTGTATTCATTGAACAAAGCCTAACCTAACACAACATTTACATGCAAAGTATAAATTCTACCCTATCCTGATCAACTCAATTCGAATCCTACATGTAATTTTGCAAAGTCTTCTCAACAATTCTGTAAAGGAATTACATTTATTTACTAATTTTTGCATACAAAATAGGTATTCCCATTCCATATCAAACCAAGGTACACACTTTTCTTGTGCGTTCTGCCTTTTCTCGCTTTTCTCCACTTTATGCTGGGATGCTTGCTTTCTCCTTGCTGATACAGTGGTAAATGTGCAATAAAATTCACATAGCCGACACATTAATTTATCTATGTATGATTTCTTTTCATAAGTGGCTTTTAAAACCAGCAGTACCATAATAAACACAACTCATCCATATGTTATTTCCATCCTAGCTACATGCTTCAGGTATTTAAGAGTGGATTTTTGCCATCTGATCTCATCATCTTTCATTTTTTCTCCTTGAGTGTCACCAGCGGGGCCAATGTGTCAAAGTCATAGGTTCATTTTCGGTTGGAAAGCTCAAATAATTTTAAAAGGACTGAGGCCAAAAAGTTGACAGGAATGAACTCCAAACAACCATGGCACAAAATATTTGATTTTATAATATTCTCTAAATAAATTTTCAAAGGAGGAATAAAGGTCTTTAACATACCTCACAGATTTTCTCTAAGGATGGAACAAAGAAGTCATCACATACTATAGCCAAAGCATAGAACATATAAAGAGCCTGTAAAGAAAATAATTCAGGAAATACTTCAGATTTTTCCTGTACATTAAAAGAGCAAAGAAGATAATACTATATTTATTCAGATTAGTGGAAATATATAGCTTCATTTTTTACTCCATTCCAAATAAAAATTCCTCTGCTGATCAATTTATGGCATAAAATCAAGATTCTTGAATGTAAGATTAAGTTTAGGACAAAAATGTTTGCCAGACCCTACAATAGTTTGACAGAACCACAGTTTGACAGAAAAGGGTACCACAACAGACTTCATATAAAATAAAGTAATGGGTAAGGCTTACAAATACATCATCACCATCTATCATTTCAATTAATTATTCAACCAAGTAATTAAACAGAAAGTAACCCCATGTTGATTAACAACACTCAAGAAAATAATCACACCTGGAAATAAGTAGACCCTGACCATGGCTCACTGCACCAAACCTCTCAGGAGTGATGCCAGTTCCCTGCATGTGATTCTCCCACTCTCTTATGTGTCTTTATGTGCTGTGCTCATGCATTGGGCCTCGTCCTGCTCTTGTCAATCAAACACAACTCCTCTTTACTTTCCCTAAGCTGGGAATCGAAAACTGAAGCTCATAGACCTCCCTTGTTTTGTTTTTTTATACAATAAAATACAAAACTCCCATGACGTTTTCTTATTTCTTCAGTTTTTTTTAATTACAATTGCATCTTTTGCATAGAGGCACAATAGGAAAGAAAAAGAATTAAGAATCTTTTACATCATGCTTGATGTCATCAACAAAGGTATCCCAAATCCTGTTTATAGAAGATGAAATAGAAACAAATACAAGTCTATAATCCATGTGGCCAGGATTTTATCTCGAGGAGGATGAATGCATAAGCACTGCAAATTCAGACTTGCATCATTTTCTTAAATAAATCACAGAGTAATGGAATAATTTGGGTTGGAAAAGACCCTTCAGATCATTGAGTTGAACTGTTAACCAAGTCCACCACTAAACCATGTCCCTAAGATGTTACCTTGTGAGCATTTGTACCTGTATAGACATACTAGAAATACTGAAATCAAATTGTTACAAACATGTTGATATACACTGAGCTCTATTTAGTAAGGCAGTAGGTGATTAACTTCTTACAAGACAAATAAAAGGAAAGTTACAGAGAAAAGAAAAATGAAGTGCAGTAGAGGAAAACTTACGGCAATGATATGAAGCAGAACTCCTCCTTGCTGCCGTTCTTTATTTGTAAATACATCTTCAGGAAATTCATTAATGGCTGAAAGAGAAATATACATTTATTTTTTTTAAATTACAGCATCTATAAATGGCAGACTGAAAAATAAGAATGCATCTGTAGAAATACATGACAAAACATGACTGTATCTTCCAATTTATACATGATAACTTGCCACCTCGATCCCTTTTCTGCTCTGTAGAAAAAACAGAGAACTGATACTTAGCTGTTATTATCACCATTCCAGTGACTTAAACCAATCGCCACTGTATTAATGCATTCTTAATGCCTTATTTTTACTATCACCTCCTCTGTGTCTCTAAATATACTTCCAAAGTGACAATATTCCTGGCTTTAAGTGTGTCTTGCCTGAAAAATTATGCAATGGTTGTAACCTTCCATCCAGTTCTTAACCACAAACTTTTATAGTGCTCCACAGTCTTGCAAATAATTTCAAAGATTAAAGTTATTCCAAGTACTTTCTGGAGAACGTGCACTATCTAAATCTGGCGAAGGAAGGAATGAGATAGAAATGGTAGGTGGACGACAGAAATGTGCAAAGACATGAGTTTTGGGATTATTTCTGGGTGACACTGAAGCTGTGTTCAACAAAGTTCAACAAAGGCAACCGAGTGAAGAAAAGTTTCCAGATGGTAGAGGCAAAGACAGCAACTAAATCGAAGGCCAGAAGAAAAATATGAGATAAAACCCATCCAGATTGACAAGACAGGCAGGGATAGAGATCTATAGCGCCTCAGACAGGAGCCTGGGAAATTTAGGGGTGACAATTTCAGCCACTGGAAGTCAAATGCACTGAAGACGTTAAATTATTATTCAGAAAGAGATGCTCTTTTCCACAAGGAGTTGTAGATGTAGGTTGACAAGACAAGCTCCAGAGGTTCTTATGAACTTAAAATAATATATTGAAACTAGGGGAAGGAAACAGAGGGAATATATGATCATCTTCCCCATATTCAAGTCTGTCAGTATAAAGAAATGCTTAAAAGGACAACATATTATATTTATGCTGTTCCATTTTCAATGTCAATAGCATATTTTCTCAATTTCTCAGTCTAATTCTGCAAACAATAACCATGAACATAGAAACCAAGAATTTGAAGTATGGTTGATGTAGTTACTAATCTTCAGCACTTTAAACTAGCCTCATTTTCAGGAAATGTTGCACAGTAACTCTTTGAAGATTATACTTTTTAGAGTATCTTAAATTTACACTACCTGTAATCACCAAACACACTTGAAAATCTTAGCTGCAGTGAGAGGATAACCTACTTTTAAAGACCTGAATGACTTCTCATCTCCTCAGTCTTTGAATTTTATATAAATACAAAAATGTCTCTTCTCTACATCTATATATTTTGCTTATGTCTAGCATGACAAAACCCTGAACAGTGTCTCCATGCAAAGCTGAAGATCCCATAGCTCTGTTTTTGCTTTAGTGCCCACTACCATAAATGTATTATTTTTTAATTAATACACTGGCAGCAGTCAGTGTTTAAAACGTTATATACATAAATCATACCTTCCTTCCAAAAGTCAAAGCTACCATTTTATGAAATATCTTTAAGTCCTCCAACCTAGTATTTGAAAGCCACTACAGTTTTGTTTAAAACTATTAACAATCTATAAAATATTTAACATAAAGTAAAAGTTCATCAACAATGACTGGCTGCAATTCCTTTATTGATTTTCATTAGGCTTTTCAATAAGACCTGTTCTTACTGTCGTATTCTGACTGGAACCAATATCGGCGCTTGGTATGTTGAATAGAGTTTTCCCAAGGTATAGGTGCATCTTTTCTTTTCTATCTCAGACAACAAAAACTATATAAATCTAGACTAAATTTTGCTTAGGTACTCCTGAGTGTGATTTCCTATGCCTAGACTCTATTCCCAGTCCTCCTTCTGTCATCACCAGGAAAAGTGAAAGCAATAGTGGATATAAATACACAAATGCATCAGCACAATAGCACAATAATTCCCAATCGCTCATTGAGTAACGGAACACCATTCAGGGGTATGCAGAGTACTTCAGTGCCTAAAGACCATCAGCACAGCAGTGTGTAGCAGGACTAGCTTCAAGAAAGTGGCTCTGTCTTGCTACAGAACCCCACGGTCTTCAAGGGCCGTGATTTGCACTGTGAAGAGATTTGAGACCTTACCAAACGAGCAGAGGAAAAAGCACTGCTATACAAACGCAAAACACACCGTAAATAAAAGATATTTGCCTATTGAGTCAAAGAAACTCAAATACTTTTAAAATCAAAATATGTGAATAAAACATCTTCCTTTCATGTTTGGTATTTGTCACTGTTATCCCCAAAGAAGCAAAAGGACAGTGGAAATACACAGAAACTGGTTGCACTGCAGTTCTGAGACACACTGCATTTAGAGCTGCCATTGTGCAGGATAATCCACAAACTGCTGGTCAAGACACAGCAATCTGCAATGCTTTTATCTACAGATAAACCTTTTAAGATGCCAACAGAACCTTATAGCATGTAACAGCCAAGCATGTTCCCTGTAGTAATATATTGCTATATATAGTAACATAGTAATACGTAATATAGTAAAATACAGTAATTATTCCCCCCATTTAGCAATCAGGGAGGAATACACTTCTGCAATAACACTGGATTACCAACAAATTTAAGAACTCCGTCAGCTATGCTAGCTGCCAAACACAGAATTTCTCAGAGGAGTTATTCCCTAGCACATGAAATAAGGTATGACAAAAAAATCAGCATCCAAAGCGTGTGGTTTCAAATAAATTATCCCCTTTAACAATTAACATTAACTAAAATGATTAATAACTAAAAAAGCACTAAGGAGACTTCTTTGGAAGAAAAGACCCAGAGGTACAGCTGCTGGCATCTTATGCAATATGGTTGTTCTTGCATTTTAGCCAGCTCTTCTGGCTAAAATATCATGCCCACATGGATGCACTCAGAATGCATACACTGTTTTTCTTATCGCATCCCCAATTTGCCCTCTGTCTCCTCCATCCAAGCCATGGCTGTGAGAATACACATATTCCAGCAAGGCATTAGGAGAGCCAAGACCAGAGCCCTGCCTGAGTCTGTAGCAGTGACAATGTGACCCTGCACATGAGGTACATCTTTTCACATGCCCTGAAGCGAAGGTTCCCAGCTCCCATCACAGGTGCTTGTGCCAGAGGCACCATGCCTCTTACTGCCACCGTAGAGCTGAGGGAACATGCCCCCTACCCCATAACTTGGCAAAATGGATGTGTCATCTGGAAAGACATTACCAACCTGGTAATCTCATTCAGCTGATGGTAAAATATTTCACAGTATAATATTAAAAATGCTTAAGTCAGTATAAAACGAAGTTTCAAGAAGCTTGAAAAAAATCACTTTCTAATGGAACTTTACTTATTCAAAGTTAACACTAAATAGGAAATCAGAAGACCAGAAGATAAAAGGTAGGCATCTGATCACCAAGCAAAAACAAAGCAGCTTCCCTGCAAACCATCTTGTTTCATATGTAGTCTGGTGATGTACTATTTGTAATAAATAACTACTTATATTAAATGTCTGCTTGCCTCACAGAGGTAATTTTAAATGAATTAATATGAAGACAGCTTCTCTCAAAGATAATGCTCCTCTCTACACAGAACTCATGCCATGCTTCTCACATACACACACTACAAAATCTTCTTTAAAAGTCATGGAAAAGAAGCATGGGTCTGGTAAGTAAGATTTCTTCCTTAAGGAAATGGCCACCAAGGTAAAGTTTGGAGTTTTTCAGTATAAGCATCTGCTGTCTTTATGGCTTTATATCCAGATAATCATAGGTTTTGTGTAATTGTCATCTATAAATTCTGTATACCTTATCAACATGCACTGTTCTTTATTTACTCGTGGTAGCATGGTTTTAATATTTTAAATAAATATTTGTTTTTCTTTACCTACTGCTAGGATAATCTGGTTGCTCAGGAAAAGGTTGTTTGGGTTCCCTTGGCTCCTAGCTTAGGCCTGGGAATCAACATCACTTGACTGAGGGGACAGCAGTATTCCTTCATCTGTGCGAGCTGACAGAGGGATGGGACATTATCACAGAGCTTGAGAAAGCTCGGTCTGCCCTCATGGTACAATCTGATGTGTGTGTGCACAGCAGGGCACTGCTCTACTTCACACAGAGACATTTTCTCATCTATGGGAGACAGAGCTATCTGGCAGCCCGAGTGGGAGCTACGTCTCCTCAGTTTCTCCTGAAAAGAGACAGAACAGATGGAAGAAGATGAAACGAAGAACAGTACATCTAACGGGGCTAACCTTTGCCAAGAAAAGGAGGGCAATATATACCAATCATCTTAAAATCAGCGAGAAATACAGAAATATTTATCCTGCTGGTACTGTTGCAAACCCATGGCTCCTGCAGCTCATCTTATCAAGCACAGATTTTTTTGAGGGAAAAGGGAGGGCACCAAGAAAGTCAAGTTTACATTGGAACTGTCATCCTTCTGCAGCTCATTCTCGCCTCAGTCATGAAATGAGTGGGGAAACAAAAGCAGCTGATCCAGCCACAACTTGGAGGGGACACCACCACCTTTTCCCCTGAGTGATGGCAACAAAAAAATCCTTGATTGTGCCATGACAGAAAGGATGATTCATCTTTGATAAAAAGCACTGGCTGAGCTGTCTGTGGCTAAATAGCTACACGAGGCATGCAAATAGCGTGCCTCGGAAGAGAATATAATAGCAGCTGCACAGCTTAAGCTGTCTGCATGGCTCTGGAGTGAAGATCTGGCACGGGGTAACCCAGGCATGCCCAGTGACACCTGCCCGGACTTAGGCTGTTACCGGATTACTTCTGGGTACCATCAGAGCATTGTTCCCATATGCCCTATCCATACTGCGACAGGCAGTCTGCCAAGGAAGTTAAGGTTCAAAATCTCCTAAGCCTGACAGAACATCTCAACAACCACGTGGATCTGTGGTTTTATAACCTGCCTCAACATGTGATTTCTTCACCTTATCAGCAGTTGATTTACTCAGAGAG